GGCTCAACAATATTGTTCAATATTGTTGACAAGTGTGAACAACGTGGGCAGCAAAACATTGTTCAATCCTGTTAAGCAACGGGCTCGGCGTTTTTTGCCGTGTACATGTGTCGAATTTAATTCGGTTGGGCGTGGCTTCGAAGACTTCATGTAATGTCATTGAAATGTCACATGTTGCCATGCATTTCGGAAAAAAGATAAATATGTATACTTGTTTATAATAGATTCATCATAGCGAATCATATGCTTTCATATGTTAGTGCATGAATTGCCGTGGTCACCTGCATGCATACTGTAAGATGTGTCGTAAAATTTCCAGTAAAGAAATTTAACCCTTTAAGTGGCAATTATTGAATTTCAAATAAAAAAAATATTTTCTTGCAAAATTAACCTACAAATGAGCCTAGAAAGCCAATTAAAAAAAAAAAAAATCTCCTTTGAATTTCAGGGGGGGGGAAATAATTTGTTGCAGATATGCTACATTGCCGCTTAAGGGTAAAAAAGATACAATAACTAGAAAATATATTTTATTGAAGAACCAACAGATTTTTGTTGGTTTTGTGATACCATACAGATGTAAATGCATTTTCCTTGAATTATATATAATACAGCATGTTATATATTGGTATAGTATGTTTATAATATATATATATTATTATATATTTAGTATATATAGTATATATCGTATATATAGTATATATCATATACATCGTATAGATAGTATATATAGTATATATAATATATATAACATATATAGTGTATATAGTATATATAATATATATAATATATATAGTATATATATAAATATATATATTTGTATATATAGTATATATATAGTATATACAGTATAATATATTCGCAACATTAGATATAGAAAAGTTCTTGTTCACAATGAAAGTTATTTATTATGGTTGTCCAGAAAACAGTTTTCTCCCTGCCTAAGCAGAGACAAATCTTACATTTGCCGCAAAATATTTTGGAAAGCCCATCTTTACAATGGCGACATCGACTGTGATTACCATTCACGGGGTTGGGCCAATGTCCAAGTTGGTCATACCGTGTATCATTTGATGGTAAAGGTGTGGTGGGTTTGCGACCAACCTTTGCTGATGGACCATCTGCCTCAGACAATTTTCATTTGCTTGGTCTGCTTGGCTTACGACTGGTTGTTTCCATGGGAACAACTTTGTTGGCACTGATCAAACTCTCGGAAATTTTCAAAACAAAGTCCAGCAATGACAAGCTTTATTTCTTTTGAATTCTCAACTGATCACAATGCCTGCAGTAGAGCAGCCCGGCATTGACCTTTGTTTGTATCAGACTTGAAGTCCATGGTGCTACGTACCGCTTTATTGCCGTCCTTGTTGGGTTGCAATGAACATCCCTGAAGGCGGAATAAATATTCAGCACACTCCCTACTAGACTATGGCTCTATATATTTGTAACATGAATTGTAATAGTGCTTCGGTGTCAACTTTTCATGTTTGAGGAAACATGGCGAATCCTATTAGCGGGATGAAACCTACAACTTCCGGCAGAGTGTTCGCTTGTTTATTTTCACATGAGAAAGTCATAGGGTTCGCAGCCGAGAAACGAGGCCACTATATTCAGAGGGGAGAACTTAATATGGATCTGACCACTGTAGCACTGAAGCTCATGAACATGATGAAAAGGGATAAAATCAAGCTTACAATAGTTTTACTAATACATAGTATATACACAGTATGAGCATATATACATAAACACTATAAAACAGGGTAGAATAGAATGTTCAACTGGTTTAACCTGCAGCCAAGAGGCCCAATACTGAAGACAAAAGAAATGTTTACTTAGTGCAACTATATTCAAAGGAAATTGCAGTAAAATACAGCACATGTTGTGTCTTTTATTAAAAATATAGTGATCATGTAATCTGAGCTTCAGTGAAAACTTCGCGGCAATGTAGCAGATATGCTACAAATATCTTTATGAAATTATTCAATACACACAAACGAATTTATACAAACACAAAAATACGATATGAAAAGACTGCCTTATGTCAAATTATAATATACTAAAACTTATACCCTAGAGCGCTTTACAAAGATAGAACATTGTCACGAAGTTAGAGCTTTAAAACTTACCGAAATCACTGTGATTTGGACATCATTTTCTCGGTCTAAAAGCCACTTTGGTAAAAATTTTCGCCATTACAACAATGTCAACAACGTGGGCTGTATTGCATTGTGGGTAAAAGAAGAAACTGGACCCAGACTGCGAAAAATTCGCGCACTTTTCTATTTGTAGCAGATCTGCTACACTGCCGCTTAAAGGGGCATTCCAATTCATTAGGGCATTCCAATTCTAAGCAACTCAAAGCCTCTGCGGAGGAGAGAGGGTCGCGGGTTCGAAACCCAGCCGCGGCAGACAGAGTTTTCTGCCTGCGCGCTGTCTGGAAATTATGATATATCTCACTCGAGAACATTTTCTCCTTATCATATTACCGAGTGAACAATAACACAACATAATATAACACATACAGAACTACTATTGGTCGATGCTGAATATAATGTTCATGACATTCAATCCGTCGTGACCGTGTATAGCTCGGTTGGTTGAGACCTTGTAATTTCGAAGATCACGGCACAGAATAAGTCATACAGAAGGCCGACTTCTTGGTTTTTCATATGATTTCCCAATGATTTTGGCGTAACCGTAATTCGTCATCAAAATGCTGACGCCATGGTCCTAACCAGTGCGCGCTTGGGAGGCATTCACCCCCTGATAATATTCAAACGCGCACTGGCTAGGACCATGGCGTCAGCATTTTGATGATGAATCATCGCGCTAACCTTTTTCACAATACGCATTTTATGCCGCAGAAGGTAATTCATTGTGTATAAACTATAGGTCAATAACAATGAATGTTGTGATTTATATAGGCACAAAGCTGCTGATTCAAAGAAATTGTTCTTCTGATGGCACGTCATTTCCTATTTGCCCTGGTAAGAATCAAATAACATTTCCTCAAAATAGGAACACGAAAGTCTCCTTCTGTGTCATCTATTATGTTAAAAACAAGCCGATACAAAACATGCCGAAAACGAATAATTGCATAATTATCTGATATAGCACCAACGTAATAACCGTAAACACAGGTGCAAGGATTAAGTAATAATTAAGTAGTACAAAGGACAAAGTAATAATTAAGCGTCTGCGACGCAGACTATAAGATAAAGGATATATAGGACACAACAAAGGCGCAAGGCTATATCAAACAATTATTCAAAATGTTTAAATATCAGTGAGGTCTATTGCCTGGTGTAACACGACTCTTATTCATTTTCGGATTTATGGGAAACGTATATAGGCCTAGTGGAATTAAATGACGAATATTTACCAGTTATTCTACGAACTCGATTTGAATATGAGCCGATAGCCGATGAGGCGCGTCGCGCCGAAGCAATTTTCCCTTTCGTAAACGGTCTTTGCCATCCCATACGGTCTTTGCCATCCCTGCTCAAGCTAGTTGCATCTCGTGAAAAATATAAATGGCGGCAAGCATAAACTTAGAGGGCTTTGATGATTTACTAGAGAACGCGTTAAAGAAAGTCGATCACCGTTTCCATTGTGAGAAACAGACACAAGAAGAAAAGCAGAAATTTGAGAGTGATGTTTTGGAAAAGCTTCCCGAGGATTACCTTTACGAAGTCAATGAATGTTTAGGTACTGAATCACAGTTTAAGTTGAAGGGAACTACAGATAATCTTTCGTCGGATGATTTAAAAGGATGGCTTGCCAAATTTCAAGCCCTCAACAATGTAACTCTCAAAGTTAGAGCAAAGAAGAGAGAAACGAAGGGTTATTCGACTCAGCATTACTATAGATGCCAACATGACACCAGACGCTGGAGCCAAAGTTAAAGGACCCGGCCCCAGAGGAAGCTGAGAGATGCAACTCGAGCAGGGATGGCAAAGACCGTATGGGATGGCAAAGACCGTTTACGAAAGGGAAAATTGCAGCGCCGAATCGGCTATCGCTCATATTCGACGAGAGTCAGTGGAATAACATTTATTTTATACACAAGGTCTAAATTCACATACTTAGCTTTTCGAATAGTTTCAAATAATATTTTTTCTATTTTGTTTATGTTTTTATCTTCGCTCGTTCGGCCGATTATTTTTTAAAAATTCAATTTTTAACCATTTTAAATTTTGAAAATTCATTTGCTAACCTGTAAACAATTTGTGGGAGTTTTTTCATTGTGTTTTTAATCCTGTAAAGGCTATAAAGAGCCAACAACTTGCCGTTTTCTCGATCGGGAAACGTCGAAAATTCAGTTTGAGCCGCCATTCTGTTTTTCTCTACCAGCAGGATATAAGCTAATATCCTGCTGGTAAAGGACCAATCAGATTGCAGAATACCTCATATCCAAACCTTAAGTATATATAATAAATTAAACTGTTATTGAATGATGTTTTGTGATATCCAGAATTATCAAGGTGCAGGAAAATGTTATCAGTCGAACCGAAGGCGAGATTGATAACACTTACTGAAACCTTGATACAGGGATTAAATCAATTAAAACAGGGTATTTTTTTACACACTTTGTTGGCTTGTAAAAGGAAAATGTATCCATGTAAAATCGAAAGTGTGTACTTGAGACAGTGTGACTTGCGCCCGTATTGTAAAAGCTTACTCATACTCAATGAGTGGAAGTTCAATCTGAGCTTCTCTCGAGTGTCATTGCTGTTTTCGAATAGCTGAGGGTTTAGTGTCGTACCTTACTATGCGATTACTCACCCTCCAGCTATTCAAAAACAGCATTGACACTCAAGAAGAAGCTCATATTGAACATCAACTCGTTGAGTGTGAGTATAAGCTTATAGAACACAGGCGTTGGTCTTGGAAATTAAAGTAATCACGCGCTTATTACCTGATAAGCCAGATATGTATATTTCTGGTGTATATATTTCTGGCTTCAATTATTTTCAAATTATAACAGCGGTTTCATGATAATGACGGTTTCAGAACTCGTTTTCAAGGATTTTCACTAGAACCTCGACCATTGGTCTAAAGGGCCCAAAAGTGCCTGTAAAACCGCGTTTCTGTAACCGGTCCTAAATTTTAAAATATTTACCGATACCGCACTGAAATATATGCATTAGGCACATTTGCATAACCAGTGATTTCGTACCTCAAGATATAGAGAATAATACATGGGTGTGCGGAAATACCAGATTTATTTCGAGTGTTGAACATGAATACATGATATCAAAACCAAATTTAGATTAGTGTTAGCCTGCGTGGCAGGCGGTTTTTAGGGAGGCGAGGGGTTCCTTTGCCTCCCTAATTTTAATTTTCGCTGCCCGCAGAAAACCCGCCTGCCATGCAGGCTAGATTAGTGCCAGATAAAGATTAGATTAGGGTTAGATTAAGATTAGGGTTAGAGTTAGTTCTCAACATGCATGTGTCACAATATGTCATGCATGCATTAGGTCGAGATATAAAGTTCATTGGTCGCATTTTACCTATTTGAAAAAAAAATTAAAAAAGGTCGTCAAGTTTAGATTAATGTCAGATAAAGATTAGATTATGCTTAGATTAAGATTAGGTTAGAGTTAGTGTTGGGACTGGTGCTCAATTTATTGTATTGATAATTTCGGACGTGTTTAACAATTGACTCATATTGTAAATTCAAAGGTTGAGCTCATGCTGCGCAAAAAGTACAAAGTGTCAAAATGCTCATGGTAAATAGTTAAGGTATAAGAGTTGATCGGATGATTCATTTTACATAGATGCCGTTCCAACTATACCGAGACCACAAGCAAGACCGAAGGATGAAGATAGAGAAGATGTAGCATTACGATGCAGCTGGGATTATTTTGATAACGCTTCATATGTTGAGTTTCACCTACGATGGTTCCGCGATTCTAGCGACGTTTCACACGCATTCGAACATAAGTTCAATGGAACTGCAGCACAAACAAACTACGAGAACTTGTATGAGCATAAAAGTTATACTGATAGAAGAACCGGTCTGCAAAATCCCAGTGGTTATGAATGGAACAAAAAGGTGTGCATAATATTTTGTCTAGTTCTAATTACTAATGGTTTTAACGGGTACTAAATTATTATAGAAGAGCATGCAAAGAAGTTAGTTCTCCCCCATTTTGCCAGCCTTTCCACAGGATCACGAATTTAGCGTAAGCAAAACTTGTTACCAGAAGTGGCAGTATGATGCTGGGTATTGAGTTTATACTGTTAGTACTCAGGGGCGTAGGAAGCACCTGGAGTTTGGGGGGGCACCGGCTTATAGGGGCACATTACTATCGGAAAGGGCACCTAAAAAATTTTTCCCGGAAATGTTGTCGACGGGGGGGGGG